TGGATCCCAATCAGTAGCCGGATGTGTGTGATCCGGTTGGCTGGTTTGTTCAAAGCTATGAAGTCCCGTGTTACTAACAGGTGTCTATTCGTAATCTCTGTCTAGGTACCCACAAACTCAAAGACGGTTCGATAAAAGACAACTTCTACCGTCAATTAAATGCGCTCCTTCGACTCAGAAGAACCACGCACACGGTTGTGCTGGCCAAGGATCTGAACGCTCAAGTTATGAGGCTGTCCACTGATAGAGTGCATCTGGGACGCTAACATGGCGTAGGCTCTCGTACTGATAAGGGATACGCGGTTACTTCATTTGTGTGAACATGCTCGCTTTTTTCTTGCGAGCAATAATCTCCGACACAGCACCCGCCGTTAAGTAACTTGGCGCGCACAGCCTCGAACCAGCTTTGGAAGCAAATCCATCACGTTGCGCTAAATTACCGATGGAGAAGCTGCGTCCAGAACTGTCACTGGATTTGTAGCCCAGGTGTGGACACTGACACATTTGTACGTGTTGACCTGCATATGTGCTTTGGCGGACGCCCATGACGACGTTGTGAGCGTATCGAAACCAGCCAACTGGAGAAGCCAGTACGCTGTCATGCGAATTGAGTAAGCGCACCCTGGAAACAATTGAAGCTCACTGGTCTCAACTTCACCGGTCCATATTAGTCGCAGGCAAATCCCCCTGTGGGAAGTCCAATGGACAACATGGACATTGAGTCTCTCCGCAGCCTCGGGAATTTATGGATGCTCGCTGGCATATTCCGGCTGGAAGCGAACACAATGAAACTCGCTAATTGCTTCGGACAAAACTCCGTTCTAGCCTGAAAGGGGAAAGCGAATCTTGGTTGTCTCCTCGTGCATCAGAAATGGAAATGACCGCCGCCATTGATAAACATTGTAAGTTATTCCGATTGATACGGAAAAAGGGCAGTAGTATACCTGTTGTTAGTGAAACTATACGTGACGAGAGTGCACAGCCTGTTCACAATTTGTCAAAAAGTTTAGAGCGTTGGGCTAAAAACTTTGGAAGGCAATCAGCCGGAATTGTTTAATGTTTTGCTGGCCAATGATCGCCCCGCTCCCTGCGCTGTCCCTTTGGATCCACCATCTAGCTCAGAAGTTGTAGGTGAGATCGCCCTGTTGGTTAAACAAAGCCGCGGGACCAGAGGATCTTCCTCCAGCCCTTTTCAAATTCTGAGAACTTGCTCTTGTGGATGATTTCTACGAGCTACTGGTGAAAATGTGGGAGAAGGAAACTGTCTCAACCCACTGGAGTCACTTAGTCACAGTCTCAATTCTCAAGGGAGGCTCAAGATCGGAATGCGGCATCCACAGAGGAATCAGTCTGATCTCCATCGCCTCTTAAAGCTTGCCTTTATCATCCTTCGCAGACTGACTGGCACTCGTGAAAGCAATATTCTTTAAGGGCAAGCCGGGTTTCGTCGGGGTCGTGGCTACATCGATCACATCTTCACCTTGCGTCAGTTGTTGGAGCACCGTCACCTATATTGGCGGTCCACCGTTGTCATGATCCTCGATATCAAAGATAGATTCGTTTCGGTCGATAGACGTGCACATTGGGACTGCATAATCAGAAAAGATGTAACTGAGCAAAATATAAATATTACCTGAGCATTATGCCCGCGTGACTCATGCAGAGTGAGAGATTATGGCAAGCTGTCGTTGCCCTTTAATATCTCCAGCGGTATAAGGCAATGATGCGCGCTGTCACCTTTCCTCTTCAACTTCACTATTGATGAAGTCATAGAAATCGCGTGTACATGACAGGATTTAGAATATGTTTATCTGCTCCCAGGAGAGCGACTTATTGACTTAAAGTACGCTGATGATATTGCCCTAACCTTGGACAACTCCCAGACGTGCCAAATGGTACTGGACAGATAAGCATTGGCTGTCCGTCACTTCGGGCTTTGCTTTGGCCCCTCGAAGTGTAAGGCGCTCCTCCAAGCTTATCAGGGACCGTCCCCTTAGTGGGGATCAGTCATTCAAACATTCAACTAGCTGGGAAGTTGTGTCAGCACCCGTGGATGGAAGATAAGATCACGAACCTTATAGCAAAAGCTCAAGGCGCTTTTGCTAACCTTCGCCACTTATGGCGCCTGCGCGACATCACTCTCCCCCTGAAGAGCACAGTGTACAATGCAGCGGTACGTTCAACCGCACTGTACGGTTATAAAACCTGGCCCCATTGCTCAGCGGACATAAAGAGTCAAGTTCGATCATTGTTGCCTTCGCAATTTAGCTCACATCTGGTGGGATCACCAAGTAAGCAACGAGCGTGTTCGACGCCTAGTTTAAGGGACAGGAAAAGTAAATGAACCGTTCTACAAACTCATTTCACGCACCAGGTTCCGATGGCTTGGCTACCTGTTACGCATGCCTGCCCACCGAATCCCGCGACGTGATTTGTGTGCGCATCGGGGGTATGGGTGGAAGAAGAGAAGAGGTGGCCAAGCGATGATTTGATAGAGAGGAATAAAGGTCCTCAGCTAGAGGCTGGCCTCAGTTCGAGCTTCTCGGCTCCCTGGTTGGGGTCCGAAAGACGTTGAACACTTTTGGCTTGGTACGTTTGCTGACATGGCTAGGAGCCGACCACAGTTGCATTCGTGCTGTGAGTTGCTTTATCCTATCCCATCCCTCTTAGCCTCTCCCTCCAACCACCATCTCACTATTTAGCCTTTTATAAGTTCGCACATTAAAGTAATTTTTCTGCTGCAAGTTACCCGGCAGGTAGCTAACCGGAAAGATGCCCATCCGTTACCCGTAGCTCAGCTGGCTTGCACCTGTTGCATTTTATTCCATTTTTTCTTTTAGGTATTGCGCCACAGTAGCTGAGGTGTTTTCTACCTCTTGCTAACGTGCAGATTGTGTGTGGGTGTGTGCGTGAATAATGAAGAACGTGGACGCAGTGTTTCAAACATTTGTCTTATATATTTACCAACTGGGAAAGCTCCTATATTTGCTTGTTAACACCATTTACAAAGTTCACCACGGTTTCTCCCCACTTAACATGACAGCTGGAGTGGCATATGGTGCTGAAGAAACAGCCGACATCCTGCAAAAGCAGTATGCCCGATACTTCCAACAAGACGACTGCCAATGTTACATACCCATAACCCTAACCCTAATTGCGGGAAAGTACTACCATATCTTTTATTGCCACATCTTTGTTGAAGAAATTGCTCTCATTACGCCCTTACAGCTCTCCCGGATTCGATAACCTCAACCCCAGGGCGTTGAAAGTAGCAGCAACAACGCTGGCCGAAGCATCATCGTATTTTTTTCAAAATTGCTTGTATAAGAAAAGTACACCTATCACATGAAAACTGCTTAATCACTATAATTTCCATACGCACTAATCGTTTTACATGAGCCCCTATCGCCCAGCTGTCCTCTTCCCTGTGCCCTCAAAGGTGATGGAGACATTCATCGCCGAGTCTGTAGTACACTACCTAGAATGCCCCAACAGCAAGAGAGAAGAGCAACACTGTTACGCCAACACCGTTCACACTCTAGCCATCTACTGATTGCACGAAGTTGTTGGGCGGAGGCAGCCAATATATGTAAGATGACAGACGTGGTTTACCTGGACCGACTGGACCACCGCGATCTGCTTCATAGGCTCGAAAGGTATGGATGTGGTGATCCTGTCTTTGTGTGGAATACTTATTTCCTGCAGAGTCCGCAACTGTATTTCAGAATTCGTAGTACGCTGTCCGAGCTGATTTATGTCGAATGTGGTGTTATATGAGTTTCAATTCTGGGGCCGCATCTGTTATCCTGTTCATTATTCAGCTTACGCGTTTAGTTGTCTCAGAGTGCTTGCTGTCCGCTGAAGATTTTACCATGTGGCGGACGATCACCGACCCAGGAGATCACGATGCACTTCATCGAGGCCTGGACAGTGCGCGTGAGCAATCACGCCCCAATCTGCTCACATTTATATTAGGTTAACTGTAAGGTGGTCCATATTCGCCACCAGCCGAACAACAAATACAAGCTTGGAGACGATGTTCTGCATGCAGTCACCTAGGAGTGCGACTTTGCGGTAATAATCCAGACTGACTGGTCTGCTCAGAACAATCTGAAAAAGCGTCAAAGGCTGGAAACCAAAGCTTTGCTAGGCTGCATTGGGCATTCGGGCGGTTTGATCCATCTGTCTGTTCCCAGTTGCTTAACATGAACATGTGAGCCCATGTGGAATACACAATCCAAACCTGCTAGCCCTGGTAAAAGCAAGATCTTTCATCGATTGGGACCCCACAGCAACAAGCTACGAACCATGTCAAAGGTTTATACAAAGTTCCTTATCCAATTAGGCTGATATCCCTAAATTATACAGCAGCCGGTATTTGCGCTTACATGGCGACCTTATTAAGGCCTCCACGATTCTGAGGAACACCAGATACGTCTGCCGCCCCCTACTACAACTGAGGCACAACAAGAATTTGTGGGGCCAAAATTTCAGGTTTGTCAAGCAATTCAGTCGGCCAGATTGTTGGTTGAAGTTATACGCTCTTCGTATTGTCAGCCATGGAACTTCATCCCAAATTACGTTGTTTCCGCCCTCAATAGATCTGTTTAGAAAACGGCTTGACGTTGCCTCAACGTTAAGGTTACGATAGTTAGCCTGTATGTCTCGTTAGATGATAGTTTGTGACTACGGTTGCACAAACTGGATTAGCCTACAGAAATGAGTTTGGTTCTTTCTGCATGCCTCTAATTAGAAACTGTGGTGAGCGCACCAAAACGGTTTTCATTTCATCCCTTTGTTCGCTATGCACCATGTTGTGCTTCACATTATCCTCCCTAATATATCATTGTTCCATTATGCACTGGAGTTGGCGTGTATGCAGAAACCACAAACAGATTACGGCTTTCAGCGCCATGACTGGTTATCCTGGATGAGCCTTGGAGACGGAGTGCACATAATTTGCTGTAAACGGGACAACAGTCAAGGAGTGCATCCTATGCTTTGTTGTTTAGCGCTGCACCATCAACGGTCAAGCCAGCAGAACCATCTTTTACGTCGCCAGATAAACGTGTGGAATGTAACTTCCTTTTTAGTCGTAAATTTAAACTTGAGCACAGCACCTGGGTCCTACAATCGCAATTAGAAAGGACAACATACATCAATGGCGGGAAAACTTCGTGTACGTGAAAGATCGGCTTGTTGCCCAATATGCACAAGCTTCCGGACAGTGTGGGTTGCCAGCGGATACAAAGATGGCGGTCGCAGAATAGCCTCAGGTAGGACATCATGGGAAACCCTGAAACCGATAGCCGGGTTAAGTCGAGGAAAACATTAATTCTTAACAGAAGAAAGCTTGGCGTGTCATGAAGCGTGATAAGAATCAAAAGCGAAATGAGCGAGAGAATACGAAACAGCAGCGTGATCCACGGTTTTTTAGCAGACGCAATACTACTCGGTTGACTAAGCCGTAGTAGGGTGCTGTCTACGGAGATACAATCCAGAGCCTTTAGTTCTATACCCTACCCTCAAGGCAACGAGCGAATTCAGAGAATCGAGCCCAATGGGAGCGGGTGATTGATTGTGTGGCTCAAACGCCTTTACTTTGATAAGATTCTAAACAGGGATTGAACTAATTGCTGAAACAGTTAGACATTTAACCAGCCACATGGCACCAGTTGGATGTTGTTTTGCCAGCCGGCATAACTCGTTAGCTGTACGCCGTAACGGCGCTTCGCTGCAGTGCAACAACCGCCAGTCGCGCGTGGGCTGCGTAACTCGCGAGGACGCCCGCCCCTTATTGGATTCAAACCGGTGACTTCATGATTGTAGCCCATGCGTGCAAACAACCTTACTAATTTTCGTTGGCATATAAGCAACTCTGATTTGGAAAGATAAAAACTCTCACCGACACCTCAGCAACACCGTGAATGTATAGTAGCAGCATTGTCCTTTTTCCCTTTCAAATCTTTGTTCATTCGATGGTCGTTTTACCCATGCTAAACAACATAAATTAAAAAGTTTGGATGCATATTTCGTGTACACATTTTGAACAGATAATCTTCTACCGCTTTCCTCGGCAGCTGCATGATGCAACGTGTTTAAGATCTTCTAAATCGGATTCTAACTTTTGCCATAAAGCTCGTTTTCAGTTGTTCCTCATCAGCCTAATACGTTATAAATGAGTGACATGAATTGCTCCAATAAAATATCATGTACAAAGGTCTAAATGATCTGGGCGATCAAGCTCTTTGATTGGTCCCAATGGGATCAGGACTGTATGAGTGGTTTTATCCATATCAATTGTCTGCTTACTGGGGGCAGGAGTAGAACGTGTGCCTGGACAAAAGGCTGATTCACACATAGATCCGAGTCATGAAACCGAATGGCGATCGTTTTGCTTGCTGACATAAGGCGAGGTCTAATGGATAGTGTGTGATATTTGAGCACTCGGAGGTAAGATGTAACGCCTGATACGCTTTGCCTTAGTGGTCCGAATCAAGCAAATACGCAAACACTGGAGTTGCCATTTCTCCAAGCAATTCGATATACACCCAAGCTCGGACAGTCGCTTAGTAATCCTTGTGATATGTCTTGCACGACAAGAGAACCTGAGTATAAGTATGAATAACTACTTGAACTTGATGTTCTGTCCCTAACTTGTTGTTTCAGAACAGCCACTGAACTGAAGCTTAGCACTGCGCTTGTCGCTAAATACATTTGACCAATGGCTCCCGAAAGATTTATAGAGGTGGATTCTATCACCAAGCCTTCAAAAAGCGGTAGCGACCATTATACCGGATTTTACCCAACAAATACACCATTACTTACTTCCTCCAGATTCCATATTTCATTAAAGCAAAATCTTCATATAACCATCCGTGTATAATGTTCATCTCTTCTGCGAGAGTTTCACCGACTTATATCTTGCTCACCTTTAGGCATCGAAATCGTTTTCATTTCTAGTTGATTGGAAAGCAGCCGGCGACAGCAGTATATTCCTCATTGCAAACTGATATTTTGCTGGAAGAACCCTTCAGATTTTCAGCTTGTCTGGACTTCTAAGAACGGCATTAGGTTTTTGTGCTCCGATTCTAGACTGAACCTTATGTTGTAATCTGCTGAGTTAAATTGTATCACTAGTTCATCCCCGTATAGGTAGCTTTCTGAAAAGTAAATTTGTCGTCCGCGTACCGTACGTTATAGACAGAGTCGCTGATGACCCCGCTCAGGTGGAGGTTTTCCAACTTACGCACATAAACATCGTGTAGAAGCGGTCCTTATGGTAAAGGTGTTGCGACTAAGTATTTCTGTAATATATATTTATCCGAAAAGTTAACAAAAGAGTGCCGTACGATTTAATTCCTTAAAACTTTCTTTGCATATTTTCAAGTGAGTACTACAAATTGTGAATTTATAGCATTATGAAAGGAGCGCAGTTAAAATGGCAAATTTATCAAACTGTACACACCTACATTCATGTCACTTTGTCATCTGTGTCCGGCCTGCTACCACGGCAAGGCCAGGGTCACAAACGTGTCCTACTGCAGAGAAATGTTTTCGAAATTAAATTGTTCGACAATCTTGTGTTAACTTTTCTGCTAAAAGTTTCCTGGAGATCTAACTTTTTCAATATATTTTGTAAGTTAAACTGGAATTATATACTACTGATAAAATGTACGCTGATAACATCACTAACCATCAACCTTACATTGGGATCAGTCACCTAGCTTGACCGCTCAGACCATCTAGGTATCTGCACTTCTAACCTAATGTTTACTTAACGTCTTTCATTTATGTTGTAATAGTCTGCTTATACACTACTGAAAATGAATTTGTTCTCTAACATTTATTCTGGTACCACAAAATTACCTGTAAAGCAGTGCAATCATATTGCGTTTTCTAGACCGTGATAAATAGGTTCTGTCCCCTGTATCTCAATATGCATTTTATGTAATATAAGACAATATAACATCGTGCACTTTGTTCTTATTTCTAATGCTCCATCCGCCTACTACCATTGATATTAAAATTGATTCTAACCCGTCGCATATAACACAAAAGTTGCTTAACTTCCATGTAGATTTATATAGACCGACAACGTTAGTCCCTTAATTAGGCAAGTCAAATAATGTAACCCTTGGAGATAAATCGGTCCTCAAACCGACTCACAAATGTGACCATTACTTTAGCCTCCAACATCGAATTAAATTAAGTGACTATATTATTTCAGCTCAAGAGAAACTGAAAGCATGACCTAAATTATCCGATTGTTCTGTCTGCAAACACCCCTTATGCAAACCCTTATCAGATATATGCAATTTTGAACGAATAATTTTCAGCTTTGTTTTGCAGAGCAGTGCATGTAATCGAGTTTAGAGATGATAACTAAAACTACTAATTCAAACAATGTTGCTAAATTTGAGCAAGCGGACGTAAGAACACTTATCAACTCAGTGCGTACGGGGTTTGTCCTGGCTCTGATGGAATACCGTACACTGTGCTCAAATTCGGAGGCCCTGATATCCCTTTACACTCTCAAAACATTTATGCGCTAACCATGCGGTCTGAGGTTATGACAGATGTGTAGAAATATGCGTTAATTGCATAAATGTTTAGAAGCGGTACATAGCAAATATAGATTTGGAACAATGGAAAAGGAATTAAAAGCCTAAATCGTCGAATTCTTATAGTCCCGTAGTTTGATCAACAATTCCCAGCACAGATTTCTGGGAGCACGGCTATCATTAATCAGTTGAGCCCAGTTTCTAACTGCCGTTACTTAGGTCAATGACCGTGATAAGCTTCTGATTAGCTTGGTGGCACCAGAAATAAACATTATCCTTAACATCCCTAATATGACTAAGGTATTTGATGTGTAACATCTGGAAAAGTAAGAATAGTATAAATGTAATTGCGCTTCATGTTGAGTATGATCCACAAACCCGTCTTTGCCTGAGGCATCGTGGTGCAAATGAAACCAACCCTTAACTCTAATGATTCGGCATAACAAAAACAATTGGATAAAGGCACGAACAAGCTTAATCGCAAATTTGCATCATAGCCGCTACGCTTTTATATGGAACAGGTCACCAGGGAATTTGAGAACGTGCGGTACAAAGCGCGTATTCCGCACTCTAGCAAACGGAGTAATGCCAGTGAATAAATTGAGTGACATGCTCAACATAGATGTGAGTACAACCATGTGGTATAAGGCTGCTCTGAATTTCACATAGTAGATGGCATAATTTTCTGTTTTAAACTTAATCCACCACATAACATCATTTGTATTTAGGGATGAAACTAGTTCCACATTTCTCACAACTACGTGCACTGAGAAATCAACACACAAACTACGGAGCAGTTGCTATTATCCGTGGATATTGCTTTCTACGTAACACCGCTCTCCAAAATCCTTTTTCTTGAGGGTATTTCTAGCCATTTGATCGTACTGAGTCGATGCTGTTCTGTTTTTGTACGTACCGTTCGCAATTCTCGTCGCACACTACTGCGCTAACACTTAGCTAAATCGGGGTTACCAATAATTTACAGTGAATTTACTACGACAGTATTGTCTAGCACACATCATCGCTGCATCCGTTAATGTAATGCAATTGGATGTCCACAAGTAATACAAGTGTGCATCAAGATTATTGAGTGAACAGCACAAGTTTTACCCTCATATGACAGAACGCTCCTAGCGCTATCTAGTGGTGCTGTTATCACGACAATCGAACACCGTTTGATAGCTGCAGCTGGTTTAGGAACGAGCATCCTAACACTTATCAAACCAGCATGAATTATATCACGCTCATCAAAGCTCAACTTCAAGTAAGCCGAAGCCCAGCCTTCGCAATATCTAAGCTGCCACTGCCACACCAGAGAGGTTACGCACTGACCTCAGAAGGCTTCGTTTACAAATATGGTCCCACTCGTAGGACATTGGCAACCGAAATCATGTGCCTGCATGAGCACACTCAGCGATTGCAATTTACCCTCTTGCCTGATGCCCGACAAGGATTCATAAGCCAGCGATAAGGAAAACGATATACACACGGTCCACTCAACCGCAAGCAACAGTTAAGTGTCCTTTCAACTCGTGTTCCAAGACAATCCAAAATGGAATACCACATAGTTACTGCAGTAATAACTTACGGCCAAGTTATGTAAATTTTAGTGAAGCAAAGGAGAATAAACAACATTACACACCAGACTGCATTTGTATAAATACCGAGTGCTTGATTACCCCACTCGTAAGACACACCACTTTTCTTACCCAGCGATTTTATAA